GGCGTACTACACCGTCCGTTAATTCCTGCTTGCCTAGAGGGGCCATTTAAGAAAAGGACTATCCACGACATTTGAGCGTTTTGAGTGCCAGATGCACCTCGCATCATTTTTCGTAAGAGCAGTTTCTCACTCACCAATAACTATATCTCTTGATCTGGTACTCTTTATATGCTACCGCATAAACATTGTAAATCGTTTCTAGCAGAAGTATATAAAATGGCAGCCTTTCATTTTTATATTTCCAAATACCAGATCGAACAATAAGTCGAAGTTGCAAAAGCGAAGTTTGAACTCCATACTTTATTGTGCTATATCGACAAAGACAAATGTTGCATTTGAATTAGAAAAATACTCCTTCGAGCCGGATTCGAACCAGCGACCTATGGATTTCAATGTCAACTCTACAGTCCACCGCTCTACCAACTGAGCTATCGAAGGTACCTGTGCTTTGCCCAATCTTTGTATATGAATCCAAATTTATACATTAAAGCGCATAATTCATATTCAGCCAGCTCACAAGTTTATTGACAAATATAAATGTATCGACCAGGAATCGATCGAGTTTAGGGAAGCGATGACAAACATGTTCATTCTGGAAGCATTCTCAACAAGTGCCTAAACCATGGAATATGTGAGTATTCAATGTTGCGAAGTAGCGGCTGTACGGTAATGCTCTCTCGTTAATCTGTACTCGGGCCTAGGTTCAGATGCCTAGCCGTTAATTGCAGAAAGATTCTTTCAGACGCTTCTGCTGGGGACCGAAGATTATCAGTCATGGTCCACGGCTCATGACCGTAGGTGAGCATCTGCATGAAGTTCGATTTGAAAACTGACAGCTTAGTCTTCAGACTCAGCGCTGCTCTAGTCACAACGGTACATGCTAATTTACGAAGAACACCAATGCCTATTCCAATCCGCCGGTCGTCGATCTCTTCCTCAAATTTTCTACCACAAGTAAACACGACCCTGAAGTACTTGAATTTCCTTACCTGCTCCACTGCCTCGCAGAAAAAGCAATAAGCTTTTCGTTTTAGATATGCCCAGACGCGTATCGGACATGTCACACTCGGCTGCGAATTATTCCAGAGACCGCTATCGTTTCAGAAGATGCCAACAAAGCATGGTTGTCTGCCAACAACAACCTTCTCTCCTCGACATCTCTACTTATATCTCCCAGGTTGCGTCTGACTATTCCAACCATGAACAACACAAACAGAGGAGGGGACAAGACACAGCCTTGGCGAAGGCCAGTGCCAAGCTGAAAGGTCTTGACTTAACGCCATTTACTCTGACGCAGAACCTGCTATCAGCCTATAGAAATTGGTGGCTAGTAGCAACTGGCCATCCATCCCATATGTTCGCAGGCATGCCCACAGACTGTTGCACGAAATCCCGTCATAGACTTAGGTCAACAAAGCACCACAGGATCAGCGAACTTCCACGATTTCTCAATAATCTGGTGCAAGACGAAGATGCTAACAGATTTTATATGGTATGATCTGAAGCTACACTGCACCTGGTATATCTTAATCAGTGGCACCTTTGTTCTAACTTCATTGCGCAGACTTTTCTCAGGAGGCTCAATGAAATAATACCCTGATGATTAAAGCACTCCTTATGTCTACCTTTTTGAACGGGAGGGCCACAGCCACTGTTCTCTAGCCACTGCAGTTTGACATACACATGTTGGTCACAATGAAGACCAAAGCTTTGAGCACTTCAGGACAGATTTCATCGATTCCACTGGCCTTGCCACCTTTAAAGCTTTTTGCGGCTTCTATGACCCAATCTACTTAAAGACTAATATCCTGTTGCCTACTCTCCTCTTATGGTTGCTCAAAGTACTCTTGCAATCGCAGAGGTATATCCTCATCCTGGGTAAGACGGCGTCAGGACTTCTCTTTCAGGACTTTTAGACTGCTTTCGTTAGATCTCGGACGCGGCGGACGATCTGCCAGAATACCTTGTTTGCACTTCAGAAATTCGAACTCAGCTCGACTCGTCGAACTTCTCGCATACCTCAGATTTCCCTTTAATCACTGCTTTCGCCGGTTGCTTCTTCGTACCGCATTCGAATGGAAAGTTCCTGCCTTCAAGCCACCTTTTGAAGGAAGCCTTCTTCTCACTGACAGCTGGTTGAACGTCTCGTTTCCACTAGGAAACTCAACTCTGTTCCTCAGTCGAGAGTTCAACCAGTTTAAAATCGCAACACTGGACCACAGCGTTGAGTAAGCCTCTTTTACAGAGCTTTCCCTCGATTTCCACACCAGACGTCGTTACTAGGATCTGCTTAAACAATGGAACGATGTTGTTTGCACGTTTCGTCATCGCAACGGTAGAAAATAATGCTTCCATTCAGTCCTCTGGCTACCGCACCAGGTCTTCGCATGGTACAAAGTGATGCCAGCAGATAATGATCAGCTGACAGGTCGGCGTCTATCTCATCATGAACATACGTTAGACAGCGTCGTAATTCACACCATACGACTAAACGGATGTGTAAACAGGAGTAGAACTCGTATTTCCTTTGATCGTCCGCGACACTGGTTGGGGAGAGGGTTACGATGACGGTTGCAAGACGGCAAACAAGCATTCGGTCGGTCGTGTACTCAACGGAGACCAACGCTTTCGCTGGCGGCAGCAACCACTGCCTCTTCTGACTCGCGTCTGGAATTCTCGTTCCCGGATCAGTGAAGCTGCCATCCGTTTTCATTGCGATGTTTTCGCTGGTCGGGTATGTGATCTCTGACGTGCTACGATAGCATGGCGTTGTTTACGTTCTCCGTTCAGAACGGGAAGCGGCTTCATTACTATCTGGTACAGTCGTCGTTTTTTGGTCGACCTTCTGGCCGCCAGAAGGAATGAAGCAGTATCTGACGTCGGCTTTCTGACTTCTGCCTTACTTTCTCAACAGACTGCGTTGTACATGCTAAACCGGCCGGCGACTGTGCCATGAGGGGCATGCGGCTAAGTTTTACAGGAACTTCGAGCGGTCGCTAACTTTCCTCTTTTATCCTCCGGCCTCGGGACCGACAATGGCGTAGTTCACCAGCAGATTCAGCATACTGAATGTTATTTGCAAGGCTGAGAAGTGGCTTGTTGGCACCGATATATTTTTCTGCAATAATTGATGATACATAGCGCTAAAGCCCACAAGCGATCAGCTGCTGCAGGAAGCCATATCATCGCCAACGAAGTGCCATCTACCCCGCTTAAAGACTGGGCCATTTGCTAGTAGTAATACCTCCTTTAATACTTCGTCATAATGGTCAGACAGCGTAAGATTACTTTGTCATTTCAGCTCTGTTAACTTCAGATTAAGATGACAGAAGGGCTCGTTTGCAAATTAAAAAAAAATATCGAGGCTTGTGTTTAAAGGTTGGTGATAGCCAAGTGGTATTCTACAGTGGGAAAGGAATGTAGTTAGCTGCCAATGCCAACAAACTACTATTCTCCTAGCTTAAAGAAGTCTTATATGCAAAATAGGGATCACCACATCGCCACCGGTGTCCCGTTTGTGCTGCGTATAAATGAAGTGCTTTAGACAGCCGAGCCACGAACAAACCACTTTAAGTGCATAAAAATATTCACGTAAACCAGGCCAGGTAGCTTTTGATTCTAGTCACATCGAGCCGCCTATCTTCTGAAGAGAGCACGATACATATTCCTTTTTTATTATAATCAGAAACCAATTTAGCGAAATACAAAATACAGTCTGATCTGACACTTTACAGTCACGAGAGTAAATATCAATGATGATGATGCTAAAATGAACCAATCGTAAATATTATTTTCGTCCGGTCTTTATTGATCATCAGAACGCCCTGATCTTCATAGGTATTCAGGCAGTCTTCGAGCACTTGCAACTCCAGACCTGCAAAAAGAACAATGTATGTCTAATACAGTAATGCAAGCAATGGTTAAAAAATCGCCATAGAAACAACTGTTTCAATCTAAGGTATATAACAACGAAAAGTATGTGACAAAATACATAGACGACAAATCTATGTAGCTTATGTCATGTTGTTTACATGTTTGTTCTCATCTTCTCGCCATGAAAGAATGAAAACGTAAACAACTAAGAGAACGACTAAAGATCGGTCAGAAAATATTCTTAGTCGCAACAGCAGTCATTAAAATCAAAAGAGTCGGTTATCAGTCCATGTCATTTTGGCGAGGGTTGTTTGGGCGCATCCCTGGTGCCAGTGTCAGCAGTCATGGAAGTCTGAAAATATTCCTATCGGGGAAACTGTCCTTGTGCTTGACAAAGAAATCGTTTGTCCCTGGTCTCTCTATGCCTCTCTGTGGCCTCTTTCATCATTGAATCAATTATGCCACTTGTCATTTTGACGTCTTCAACAATGAGCGAATTTTTCTAAGGCGATGATTACAGTCAGGTGATGGAGGATTACAGTTGTCACTGTTTCAATAGGTTCAACCGAATCAACAATCATATCTATACTAAACATCGTTAAGAGAAGGCGAACATCAGTCAAAAGCTGCAAATACCTGCACTTTGTAATTTACCTTTGCTGAGACACTTTTTCACCGCATCCTGCATAGCGATCTCCAAACGCTGGTCTTCATCTTCGCCTTCGTCGTTTGTCAGAGGTAACATTTCTCGCAGATACGAAAACATCTGATCGATTGGCTTCTGAGCACGGCTGCGTTGGTCTTTTTCGGCGCGTAAAGAGTCCTTTGACATTTCCATTAGGCGACATGCTTCAACGACATCCGGTTCCTCTACTTCTGATGACAGCCGCAAGCGTGCCTGAATCAACGATTCAAAACAATGATCAACAACAGGCACTGGCGATGGCGGAGGGGGACACCTACCAAAGCGGTACTCAACCGCAAGATGGCCAGCAACGTCCTCGGTGAAGTAAACGTAGTATCCTTATTGTTGCGAGCGTCCTTACGCAACTCGACGTATGTATTTACGATGTAGTCGGTCAAGTGCTCAGGCAGGACGGGCTGCGTGCGTTTGCACAACGCGATGTACTTGCGTACCAGCAGCATGTTCATCGGCTTGAACTTACTTGGCGGTTCTTTAGAATGCGCGTGTACATAAACGATGTGTTGCGCCAATCTATAACAGGAAAAATATACTGAAAGTATACAGAAAAAAACATCAATAAATCTCACGCAGGAAAATGAGACAGTGGCGCACATTTTAGAGCAACGGTTTGGCTCGGCACTTTCCTGCTCTTGATATTTCAGGTAGTGTGAAAGATCACTAGTTTTAACTCTCCATTTTTTGCTATCATCATATTCAGTGTTGTCTGGAGTCCCTTTTGGTTTAAATCATTATTATTCATCTCTTGCTTAAAGACAGATACTATGATGAATAAATTTCGCCTTGTTTAATTCACGAATAACATATTACCTAATCCTTCAATCTCACCTTGTAACCTACTGTTTCTATCACGGAGGTATGTCTTAAATATGTACATACATCTGTAAATTCAAAATTTCAACTGCATATATAAATAACCCTCTTGGAAAACCTTAAGGTATTAGCGGCTGCCGTAGCAGCTACTGCAGTATTATGAAGATGAGACATGAACGATGAAGAAAACAGAACAAAAATCTCTAGACCTCACAAAACAGTCGCAGGGGGCTAATCGATATCAGGATGCATAACTTCGTTCAGAAACAAAACTATCACCGAAGTCATTGCACAACTTACTCCCATCGCCGACACAATTGGCCGCCGTAGACCTGCCATATTTAACCACGTAGCAAACAAAGCTGTCAATACAAGTTGACTTCTGCTTAAGAAACCCTTGCAACGGTGCAGAGGCACACCATAGAATATGTGGATGAAACAGGTAACTTGAGCAGACCCGCTGATTATGGAACAGTCCAATCCAGCCACAACCAGAGGCAACAGTTCGTTCGTGTCACAGTCTTAATGTTAATCCCGCGTCCCTAATAAAAACGAGCACTTCGCTCTTCTTGCAAACGTTGTTGCCTAGAACTATGTGATGAAGTGACAGTTCATGACAAAATTTTTCGAGAAATGAAACAAGTAAAGGTCAACCAGGTTACAGTTTGTACTCACTTGAGGTCATTTTCCATATTTGGACGATCACGAATCAGCCACAGAAGGTCGAAGCGAGAGAGCAGAGCAGCCGGAAGTTGTATGTTTTGTTCGAGCGACTTGTTTGGGTTGTAACGCCCGTAAACGGGATTGGCAGCAGCTAGGATGGAGGTCCGCGCGTTTAGAGTCGTCATGATACCAGCTTTGGCGATCGATATCGTTTGCTGCTCCATCACTTCGTGTATGGACGTTCGGTCGCTTTCAATCATCTTGTCGAACTCGTCAATGCAGCATATACCTTGATCGGCTAACACCAGGGCGCCACCTTCAAGGGTGAATTCGTTGGTGATCGGATCCCGCGTGACGGCTGCCGTAAGGCCTACCCCAGAGCTGCCACGACCGGTGGTATACTGACCTGAAAGATTTAACTACTTTAAAGGCAGCCCCTGGTTTTGAACAAAATGCGAGGTACTCACTGCGACGAGCCAAGCGACAAACAAAGCTCAACAACTGACTCTTCGCAACTCCTGGGTCGCCCATGAGGCAAATATTGATTGAACCTAAACGTATGTAAAATGATATCGGTCAAACACAAGCTTGTCGCCAAACAGCGCTTACCTCGAATTTTCATTCCCCGTGGATTTCGTTCAACACCTCCAACGAGCATCAAGAGCAGCGCCTTCTTTACATCAATGTGGCCGTAGATCTCAGGGGCAACGCTGAACGCCAACTTTTCGTAAAAGTCTTCTTCTAAAATACTGACCTTAAACCGGCTATAAGTGGGATATTAGAAAAGTAATTTAGCCACCGAATGCGTAATACCTCTATTCATGGCGACCTACTATAAACCCGCAATGATAAAAACGACACAGACAAACACAGTTAGCACTTAGTATGTTATAGTTTCTAAAATAAATCACTATTACTTTGAAGATGGACTGAAATTTGGCAAATTACGTAAGTAGATCTCTAATGCGTCTTTATTCCGTTTCTGACTTTCCAAAAGATTTCATCCTACAAACTCGAAAACTGAACATTGCTCTTTAATGCGGGAGATTATTCCATGGTCTTTATTATAACATATGACTGCTCCGCATATATATATATTTAATTACACAAATCACTGGACGGCTATACAGCCCTACTTATCATCTAATGATACAAACACGTCTGATAAAAGTCAAATCGTTTAGGTCAAATTTTTGTCAATAACGGATTCAGCAAAGATACTTTGTTAATTGCTGATGTCCAGCCGTTGATGCCATTGTCCCTGTTTAATAATCTTTTGGTCTGAATGATCAGTTTCCTTTATCTATCTGAATCTA